AAGAGAAGAGAAGAGAAGAGAAGAGAAGAGAAGAGAAGAGAAGAGAATGGAGCATGATGTGGATAATGAGCCAGCAAAGTAGAGGGAGAAAGAATAGATAAATGGGTAGGAGGCAAGCCAGGAGACAGCTGTGTCAAGAAAACCCAGATGACAAAGTATCCAAGGTGACAGGGTGGTCAACAGCATCAAATGTTGCAGAGAGGTAAAAAGGATAAAGATTGAGAAAGTATCATCAGATTTGGCAATTAAGAAATCATTGCTAACTTTGGGGACAACAGTGTCAGTTGCTTAAAGATCAGAAGCCAGACAGTAAAGGGTTATGGAGTTAATGTGAGAAGAGGAAACAGAAGCAGGGAGTGTAGACAGTTTTTTCAAGTAGTTAGGCTATGAAGGATAGAAGAGACACAGGATGACTGAGTGAGGGGATGGTAGAGGCAAGTACATTGGTTCAAGACTTTTTTTGTGTCATGGACCTCCTTGACAGTCTAGGGAAGCCTAAAGACCCCTTATCAGAATATTTTTAAATGCCTAAAATAAAACATATAAAATCATAAAGGAAACCAAAGGTTAATAAAAATTAAAATGTAATTTCTTTTTCATCCAACTTCACAGACCTATTGTAATTTATCCACTGACTTCTGGTCTAGTGAATATCAAGGGAAATAATGAAAAATAATAAAAAAAGACTAGTACTTCCACATCTCAAAATATATTATAAAGTAATAACCATCAAAATCATTTGATAATGATTAAAAGATAGAAAAACAGATAAAGACTAGACAAAGAAGAATCAGAAATAACTAAAGTCAAACCCAGTGCTCATTAAACCCCAAACCATAAATTGTTATGATAGAACTCTATTTGACAAGAATGGCTGAGAAACCTGAAAAATGAGGGCAGCTAAGTGACGCAGTGGATACAGCACTGGCCCCAAAGTCAGGAGGACCTGAGTTCAAATCTGGCCTCAGACCAAATACTTGACACTTACTAGCTGTGTGACCCTGGGCAAGTCACTTAACCCCAATTGGCCTTAAAATAAATAAATAAATAAATAAAGAGAAACCTGAAAAATAGTTTGGCAGAAATTAGGTTCTGGTCAGCATCTTAAACCATATTCCACAACAAATTCAAAATGAACACTCAACATGAATATTAAAGGTTAGATCATAAAAAAAAATTGGGAAAGAAGTGGATCATAAACCTTTGACTACTATAGTACAGGATGAATTCTTAACTAAAGAAGGAACAGAAGCAAATACAAAAAACAAAATGATAATTCAATTACATGAAATTGAAAAGCTTTTATAAAAACAAAATAAACACAAATAGGCTAAGAAGGGGAAAAAAAATCTTCGTATCAAATATCCCTGATAAGCATCTAACATAGAAAATATATAGACAACTTACAGAAATATATAAGACTAAAAGCCATTCCGCAACAAGTAAGTCAATGAATATGAACACTTCTCAAATGAAGAGCTACAAATATTAAAAACCCTATAAAAGGATGCTCCAAATAACTAATAAGAGAAATACAAATCAAAACAACTCTGAGGTTTCGATCATACCAAGCAAATGAGCAAAGATGACCAAAAAAAAATGGGAACAGTCAATGTTTGGTGGGGTATAGAATGACTGGCACATTCATGGACTGTTGGTGGGGCTATGAATTGGTCTAACCATTCTGGAAAGCAATTTGGAACTTTATAAAGAGTAAAATACCCATGGTTTTTGACCCAAAGATTCCACTAGGAATATACTAGGTTTATACTTTAGGGTACAGCTAGGTGGTACAGTGGAGAGAGGAGACTCATCTTTCTGAATTCAAATCTGGCCTCAGATACTTCCTAACTGACCCTGGACAAGTCACTTCACCCTGTTTGCCTTGGTTTCCTCATCTATAAAATGAGCTGGAGAAGGAAATGGCAAACCACTCCAGAATCTCTGCCAAGAAAACCCCAAACGGGGTCACAGAGAGTTGGACGTGACTGAAAAATGACTGAACAACAACATACCTTAGGAGATCAACCACAAAAAGAAAGGCCTGATAGATAACCAAAATACTGATTTGCAGCAACACTTTTTATGGCAATAAAGAACCAGAGATAAAGTAAATGTCCATTTATTGGGAAACAGCTCAACAAACTGTGGGAAATTAATATAATGGAATATTGTTGTCCTTTAAAAAATAATGAACATGGTAAACACAGAGAAGCACAGAAAAACTTAGGCCCATGGAACTGGGCATGAGCTAATGCAAAGTGAAGTAAGCAGAACCAGGGAAATAATGTATCTGATAACTACAAAAATATAAGCAAAAACAACACCATCAAAGCAATGGAAATTGAGTGCTGTTGCAAAATTATAATGACCCAGCTTGGTCCCAAAGAAGAGATATGAAAAGACACTTCTCCCTGCTTCTTGTAGAAGTGAAGGCCTGGGGTATATAATGTCAGACTTTTTTGATAGCAGAACTTCTTTTCCTTCTTCCTCCTTTTTTTTTTTTTAAATTATAAGGGATGGCTCTCCAAAAGGCAGTGGGGGAGGAATACACCAGAAAATGTAAGAGATATGTAAACAAAAGACCAATAGAAATTTACATAAAAAAATTAAAATCTGGACCACATAATCTGCTTTTCTATGCCAACCACTACAACACTTTGAAAAAGTGCCTCTTCCCAGCAGTCCAATGAATGAAATTCAGTCAATAATAACCCCCTCTCACATGGAATTTGATGAAAACAAAGGTAACTTACTGCCCAGACAGGAGATGTAAAGCCCAGAATTGCAGCTTGAATTCCATCAGCAACATAAGGAATGATGTTTTCACCCAGACGAGTATCTCTGAACAAAGCTCTAAGGATATTTAGAGCATGGACCTGGAACAAAAACAGCCAGAAAAAAAAAATTAACTGACACTGAAATTCTTTCAAGCTACAGAACAAAACTAAAACATATAAAGAGAGAAAATGCAAAACCTTCAAAATTTAATAAAAATAATATTAAATGGTCACTAAAAGAGTATAAATTTGCATATGTGGTAGAGGGTGGGATGGCTATTAACTTATTACTTAAACTGAAATCCATTGTTTTCGGAAGCACTTATGGAAATAAATATGGCTTGGAAATTATTATTCCTAAAAACCTATATTAGTAGATTAGAGAAAAAGACAAAGAAGTTATTGAGCAACTAAAAAACCTAGAAATTAACAAAATAATATTCAAAAAAAGCACAAAAACAGAGATGCTAAAAATCAAACAATAAACACAAAAAAGAAAACAAAATGTTTGTGTTCAGTAAAGTGTTCAGTAAAACTAGATTCTGGGTTTTTTTTAAAGCCCCAATGGACAGAATATTATCTTATTTGATTTTTTTTAAAAGAGAAAGGAAAACCAAATTACCAAAATAAAAAATGAGATGGAGGATAACAACAGAAATAAAGATAATTTAGGAAATAAAGATAATTACTGGAAACTACTATACACAATATGCAAACTACTAAGATAAATGAAAAGGCTGAATATTTACAAATATATAAAATACCCAGATTGGCAGAATAGTCTATGGAGAGTCTAAATAACTTGATTTCACAAAGAAAGAAAACTTATTTGAAAAGGGATTCAATAATTTTCTCTTAAATTTCAGTATAAATGGTTTAAAAACAGCCGACCCAAATGACCGTTTGTTTTGAAAGGCACTCATTTAAATAAACATTAGAGAACCTTTCAAACTCAAATACTAAAGAGCTGCTAAATCTGTGGTCAATATGAATCAACACGAAGGTTACTGGTGGTATTTGATATCCATCACTTCTATAGCTCCATACCTTACACTTGAAAAGCCTCCTCTCTAACAATCTCAATCCCCACACTCAAGGGCTAGCTCAAGTCCCATTTCTTGCATGAGGCCTATCCTATTTTACATATACACTGATTATTCTAAGAGACACCGATAATATCTTTAATTAATAGCATTTATCTCTATAACTCAATCTATAACTTCATTTTCTATTATATTCTTCTCTTTTTCATGTGGATAAGTCTAGACTCACCAAAGAGATGGCAAGTTCCTGAAAAGTAATGAGTGAGTCTTTTTCTCTTGTATACCTCACAGTGCAAGCATAGAGATGGGCATATGTTAGGCTCAACAAATAATGGCTTGCCTATGCTACCTCTTCACAAGAACAGAAGACCTAAACATCGGCTTCTGCCTCTCATATACTCTTAAAATCTTTTCTTCTTATGAGAAGGCACACGCCCTCATTTCATCCAAATGGCTGACTGTGGGGGAGGAATAGTGTATACAGTGTCAGACTTTACTGATGAGTTGCTCAGTTTTCCCAAACTTTTTACTCCCTCTTTCTCATTCAGTATTATAAAGGATAGCTCCTGGAAAGAGAAAAAAAATGAGGAGGAGGGATTGTTGGTGGTATAAAAACAAATCATATCAACATAAATTTATTTCTTAAAAATTATCTTTCCATTTTGTGCCTCCTACCTTCCCATCCTTTTACCTATCTTTGTTTTCACAATGTCTCTATCTTTTTTCTCAAGGTCTGGGGTAGAATTGTATGTCCTGCTTTCTGAACTTTCCACTTTCTAGTCATCTCCCTCCACCTGTGTGCTCTTCCACAAAGGTGGGAACCAGCCAGGTCCCAGCACTAAGGGTGTATGATGGGCAGGTGTGTATGCGGCTACGGCATGAGGTAGACAGAACTGTGTATGAGTGCTGGTAACGGAGCGTGGGCCCTCTGGTCAGACTGGGAGTTTTTCATACTTGTTCAACCCCACTTTTAGGAAGAGTATAGAAGACAGTGTCAGAGACACTGGAAAGAGGTGCTACCATATGGGAAATGAGACCCCATGCCTGTTTCAAAATGATACAGAGTGCATGCTAACCAAACACGGGCCAAGTTTGGTAGCCACCAGCCGTCAGGTGGCAACTACATTTCTGAGGCTGCTGTTGATATTACAAGAACAAGCCCAGCATTAGAGTGTACTCCATCTGGCATTCACCATGAACATTCCTGTATTATTAGATACCTTTTTATGTGTATTTGTCTTCTCTCCCCAACTAAGCTAAACTATCAGGACAGGGTGTGGACCAGGTCTTAATGCTTCCTTATGTTTCTCACACAGCCTAGCATAGTGCCTTGGCATGTGGTAAAAACTCAGAAAATGCTTGTTGGTTGGTTGAATAACTGAAACCTAATTCGCAAAACAAGGTTTTTGGGGGCTTAAAATAAACTAATATTAAAATGGAAAGATGTGGTTTCTTCATCTGTAAAAGGTTGGGTGGTAACTTTTTTTAGAAACGTTTTGCCTGACCTATTCTATTCAATATGCCCCAGTGGTAGAGAGACACACATGGGAAATTCTTAAGTGACATCATATTAGTTTATAAATATCAGAGGCAATCATTATTGTATACAAAATCCTCCCTAACGGAAACAGGATGTTTTTCACCACAGCTTAGAAACAACTTCTTATAGAGACAATACATGGCCACTGAAGTGGTGCTTATTTTGGAGGGGGGAGAGGCAATAAACAAAAACAAAATCCAAACGGTTTTGAGTATCTGTCTTGTCCCTGACTTATACAGTGTTAGCAGGTCCACTCAAATGAGAATTCTTTCTGAGTTTTGTTTTGCTTTAAAGACTGTTAACAGTTTAAAACAACTGCCTTCCTGGTAAGGTTCTGAGGGAGTATGTTTTAATTATTACCTGTGGGACTGAACTCTGTGAGTCACCTGAAGGTAGAGCCAAAGAGATCAATTCTTTCATTGTTATCTTCAATAAATCCATCCTGCCTTTCTTTGGCTCAGAAGCCAACAATGCCTGTGGGAAAACAGGGCAGATATTAACAGGCCTCAATGTACTCTCCCCTTATACACACCCTACTCCCTTTTCCTCATACAACAATCCCAAGCTCAAAATTTCCAAAGTTCATCTGTATAGGTTCATCGTCACACAGAATAATCATACAACTTGTCTGTTTTCAATTGTTTGTTTGAATCATCCATGAGACAGTGGGAAAGCAGCTTGCTGTGGAGCAAAATGCACTGACCTTGGAGCCAGGAGCTTTAGGTAGCTCCAGCTACCCAGACTTCAAGCTAATCCCTTAACCTTTTATTCCTCAGTTTCTTCACCTGTAAAATGAAGATGCCTGTCTAGGCAATCTCTAAAATAACTGCCTGCTCTAAAAATTCTAAGATGCCAAGGCAATGGTTCATATCAATAACTTGTTAATATGAAATCTATGATTTCATAATTAATAGTAACTCCAAAGTTGAAAATTGTACATCAGATGCTATAACAAAGACTCTGCAGTAAGTATCAGCTCCTTTAATCGGAGAACTAGGAATAAAATTCCCTGTAAAATTAGCCCTTTGGCCTCTGAAAGACATCATTTATAGGCTAATATTTAATTTTTGTTTAGCTGCACAGAAGAACCCTGAAGAGTTACAATACAAATTAATTCCACAAGCATTTATCAAACACCTACTATGTGCTAGGTACCGTGCTATGTGCAGAGAAAAAAAAACTACAATCCCTACTATCTAGAACTTACATTCTAATGGGGGGGAAAGCACTGTATAAACAGATTATGTGGATGGAAAATATACACAAATAAAAAAATCAAGTCTGTCCCTACTCTTAAGAAGCTGACGATCATTTCATGTTGGTGTGTGGAAAAAATGTGTGTGCTAAAAGCACACAGTTCACACCAAACAAGGAGATATTCTCCTTGCCCTCACATCTGTATTCAGGCTCAGGTGAGGCACAAATGTTCCTCCAGGATGTATCACACTGAGGAGAAAGAACAGTGGCCCAGCAGAGGCTAACACAGAGTTGATTTATGAAGGTTACCGGCTTTAACCCTGTGCAACTATACATTGCTGACCTCTGTGTCAAGTCAACATCCTTCTTTCTTTTAAGCATAATGAATCCTTTCTTCTGCATATGGTGTCTATTGGAACTGAGTGGCTATGTAAGGAGCAAAAAAGAGAAGAATGTAAGGAGAAGTGAGTAATAAAACTTCATCTCATTCATTTGGAATTTTCCCACATTTTTAATCTCGCCTTAATTTTTTTCTTTTTCTTCCCACTGAATACTCAAAAAAAGTTTGGCTAAAAAGTATATTCAGTGAAAAACATGTCAAGGCCTATATGAACTAATGCAAAGTTCAGGGAGAAGGACCAGGAGATCCTTGTGCGCAATAATATTAATGTTGTAATGATGATAAACTGTGAAAGACTTAGCTATTCTAATCAATATAATGATCCAAGACAATTCCAAAGGGCTCATAATGAAAAAATGCTATCTACCTCCAGAAAGAGAACTGGTGAACTCTGAATGCAAACTGACATACAACTTTCTCACTTTCTTTTTCTTGCTTTTTAAAAACATATGACTGATATGGAAATACATTTTACATGATTTCACATGTATAATTAATTATTTATTTGTTGCTTGTCTTCTCAGTGGGGGGGGAGGGTGGGAAGGAAGGAGAGAACTTGGAATTCAAAATTTAAAAAGAAAAGAATGTGAAAAATAATACATTTTTTAAAAAGTAAAAAAAATTATAAAATAAAAAAAGACTATTCAGTGCTGGGATCTCCTTTTGGCTTACTGAATGAACTCTCCTTCTTCCCAGCTTCTTTCCTCTCTCCTCCAGCCCATGAGCACAGGAACAGCCTGCTTTACTCAACACATTGACATTCTGGTATTATGATCCCTTTTCCTAACAAAAGCAGCATGTGTACTGCCTGAAAAGGGAGAAGAGGAAAAATGCAAGATGGCTCCATCTGAAACACTTTTGCAGTTAAAAGTTTCCAGCTGAGCAAAGGCAGGGATTTGGACCATGTACTGTTCACTGTCTTTTCAAAAAAAGTCTCGTGGTTACCTGAATGTAGAAGGGAATCCCAGCACTGCGTCTCGTTGCACAGAGTTTAGAAGAAGGATTGCTGGACTTAATTTCTTCCAAGACATCCCGCAACCACTGCTCTGGTAGCCTTTGCAGGCACTCACTGGGGCACCTAAGGAATGTAAAGAAATAAATACTTGAGCTTGGAGTTGGCGCATTCAAAGCAAACACACACAATGTAACAATGCTAACAGGCAGCTAGCTGGGGAAGTAGATACAGCACTGGGCCTGCAGTCAGGAAGACCTGAGTTCAAATCCAGCCTCAGACCCTTACTAGCTGTGTGACCCAGGGCAAGTCACTTAACCCTGTTTGCCTGAGTTTTGTCATCTGTAAAATGAGCTGGAGAAGAAAATGGCAAATCACTCCAGTATCTCTGCCAAGAAAACCCCAAATGCGGTCATGAAGAGTCAGGACACAACTAAAATGACTGACACTAACAGTTAAGAATACACATGCTCCAAACACTTTCAGAAAGAGAAATTCACTATAAAAATGTGCAAGTATATTTGCCCTGTTTTACATTTCTCACATTGTTATTTCTTCACCTATAGGTATTCAGTACAATAAGAAAAAAAAAAAAAAGATGCATTAAAAAAAATCACATGTATTCACTAGGAAGAAATCTGTTGCTCCAACTTCACAAGTTTGGCAACCTCATCTGGCATCCCAAATCAACACACCCTGAATAATGGCAATAATTTAACAACAACAATAATAATTAGCATCTACATAGTACTTTAAGATTTGCAAAGAGCTTTACAAATATTATCTCATTTGATCCTCAAAATATTCCTGGGAAGTGGATGCTATTGTTATCTCCATTTTACAAATAAAGAAACCGAGAGAGACAGAGCTTAAGTGACTTGAGCAGGGTCACACAGCTAATAACTGTCCGAGGCTAGATTTGAACTCAGGTCTTCCTGACTCCACTGCACTACCTCTCTGCCAAACTTTAAGAAGATCTGGCTCTCATAGGCATTCTACCCTGTACAAGAAAAGTTTTATTTCTCTCAACATTCTCTCCCTCCACAATTTCAGTCAGCCCACAGCTTCAACTAAGAGGCTCTAATTACTACACTGATAACTCCTAAATCTCTCTCTTCATCCCAGACCTTTCTTACAAGCTTCAGACTTACATCGCCAACAACCTATGGAACATTTCTGCCTCTTTCCAGAGGACTTGGAATTCCAGCCGGTGTGAATTTTATCCATCTAGCTGGTTACAACTTCCTATCATTTCCTATTAAAAACCCTTCAACATATCTTCTATTATCTCCTCCTTTATTCTAGTCTCTGATAAACTTCTTCTTGCCAAGATCAATTGCTTTACATTTACATTTGATCCCATCCCTTCTTCCTAATTTCTCCAGCATATTACCCCCAACGTCCCTTCTCCTCTTCTTCACTCATCTTCAATCTCTCCCCATGTACTAGAGTTCCCCTTCCTTGCTGCCTACAAACATACCCTATTCTAAGTTCTCCCATCATAAAAAACCTGTTAGCATACCCTCCCATCCTCTTAGCTCTCATCCTATAGCCTGCCTCCCTTTCTCAGCTGAACTCAAAGGGAAAAAAAAAGCTATTTCTATTCTGTGCATCTACTTCGTGCTCATCTTAGTTCTCAACTCTGCACTTTGGCTGCCAACCTCTCCAGTCAACTGAAACTGCTCTCCAAAGTTACCAACAATCCACGAATGGACAATTCTAATGGTGTTTTCTCAGTCCTCATCCTCCTCAGCACTTGATACCGCTGACTACGTTCTCTTATATATTTTCTACTGTTTGGTTTTCCAAAATAATGCTCTCTCTCTTGATTCTTTCTCTTACCTGCCTGACTAATTGTTGTTAGTTTCCCTCAGTGATATATAATATTATATATTAATATATAAAATACATAATAACTCTTATGTTGCATTATAGCACAATGTAATATAATCAGGAAATAAAAAGAGAAAAAAGAAAAAAGGCCATTCTGGACAGAGCCAAGGGATAGGGACACAGTTCCCAGAAAGGGTTCTTTTCTTTCTTCTCTATACTATTTTGTTTCCTGACTTTATTAGCTTTATGGGTTTAATTATCATTTCTGTCTATACTGTTGTAGTCATTGTGTATTATTTTCTTGGTTTTGACTACTTCAGTTAATAGAATCTGTTAATAGAAATCTTCCTATGATTTTCTATATTCGTCATAATCATTATTTCTTACAACACAGTGATATCCCATTACATTCATGTCCTACAACTTGTCTAACCATACCTCAGATAATAGGTATGATGGGCATTACAGCTCACAAATCTATATATGGAGCCCTCCTTACATAGTCTTCCTCCTTAGCTCTAGCCAAGCATTTCCAACTGCCTAATGGATATTTCAAAGTAAATGTACCAGAGCCATTTCCAACTAATTACATCCTAAATAGAACTTGCTATCTTCTCCCAAAACCCATTCCTCTTCCAAATATCTTTATCTTGGTCTAGGGCACCACCATCCTTTCAGTCATTTGGGCTCATTTAGTATGATCCTTGACTCCTCACATTCCTTCATGTTATATACCCAATAAGTTGCCAAATCTTGTCATTTCAACCTCTATGGCATCTTTCACATCCATCCTCTTCTTTTTACTTCCCATGACTACTACCTTGGTTCAAGTCCTCACCTCTCAACTAGACTACTGTAATGGCCTCCTAATTGGACTACCTCAAGTCTCTCCCCTTTCCAATCCATCCTCCACACATCTCTCAAAATAATTTTGAGGTCACTTCCCTACTCAAAAAACTCATATAGCTCCCCACTGAATCTAGAATAAATTATAAACTCATCTCTTTGGTGTTTAAAGTGCTTCAGAATCTGGCTTATTATATATTACTCCTCTCCCTGTACTCTATGGTCCATCCAACCTGGTCATGCTATTCCTTACACACATCACTCCATCTCTCATCTACATTGTAAGAAATAATGAATATGATGACCATAAAATAGAAGCATAGGAAGACTTCTATTAACTGATACAAAATGAAATAATCAAAACCAAGAAAATAATACACAATGACTACAACAATGTAGTTGGAAAGAATAACAACAAAACAATTGAAATTAAGAGCTGTGAAATTATAATGCGCAAAATTGACTACAAATTCCTTCTTTGCAGAGGTGGTGGACCAGAGGTATGGAACAGATGTCAGACTTTTAGGATTTACTGGTCTTTTTTTTATGCTTTTTTATGTGAGAAGGCTCTTTGGGGCAGAGAATGGGGAGAAATACATTGGGAAATATAGAAATTTTTAAAAATCAAGAAAATTTAGTTTTTAAATAAGGAAAGTAAGCTCAAGGGCAGATATTAGCTCATTTTCTTTGTATCCCTAATGCCTGGCATTGATGCCTAATAAATGTTCATTGACTAATTAAAATCTTAGAATCCCTGGTTTCCTCAAGTGTCATCTCCTCCTAAACAGCAACTTTTGATAATGTCCATAATCTAGCTCAAAATGTGTAAATAAATGTATAAGGTTCAGAGGAAAACATTTTTTAAAAAATAACTTCAGGAAAATATTTTGCAGAAAAGAAGGCAATTGTTTTCCAATTTGTGGTGAAAATTAGAAGCTCCTTCAGTAATCCAAATTCAATTTCTGAACAGAAACAATTCCAAACAATTGGAAGCTACTTCCATTGCTCACACAACATAAATCAATACACAATGACTCAAAATTATAGAGCACTTTAAGGTTTACAATGCATTTTCATGACAATAACCCTGAAAGGTAGGCTGTGGAAGCCACGAAGGCTCAGAGTGCTTAATAAGGTAGAACACAGCCAGTATTAGAACCATGAACTAGACCCAAGTCAACTGTTCTTTCTCCTACACTATTAAGCAATACCATATAAAAGGAAGTATTTTTAGAAGGCAGACATGGGCATTTAAGATGCTATCTCAGTCATGAAAAACGACTCTTGAAGTTCCCTGAAACCAGAAGGCTCTCTGATTTTTAAAAGCTTGTTTTAAACATGGCTTCAACAAAACCAGCCATCCAAGGGATGAAACATGACAATTTGTAGACTGCTGTGGAGAGAGCCCTGTTATTTCCCCCTACCCTATCTCATTATCTTCTGTCTTAGCAATCCAGTGTCTAAACTGCATTCTTCTTATAATGTAGCATTCATCTGTGGTTACATAGAAATCGTCCTTGCCAGTAAACCCTTTCTGAATGGCACTGAGCCCTAAAATTAAACACTTCTGTCAAAATTGCAGAATTTTGCCAAGGCAAAGAACTTTTGGGAAAGGACAGAACTTCTGCACTGTGGATCTGCTGTGGATCTGTGAATGCAGCCAAGAAGACCAGTGATTTAACTCTTCTGTCACCTTTCAAAAGCCATCCATCTTTTCCTGGTTAGGATCCATTTTCCCCACTTCATTTATGTGTTGCAGAAAGATGTAATGGAAAGGAGGCTGCATTTGGCTTCAGAGAGAGCCTGAGTTTGAATTCCAGCTTTGCTACTTATTATCTGAGTGAACTGGGGCAAATCACTTACTTCTCTGAGTCTCAGTTTCCTCAACTGTCAAATGAGAGGGCTGGCCTTGCATTCAGGCCAGCTCCTGCCTGTTTTTGTATAAGCGAAGAATGCTTTCTATACCTGTAAGTAAGGTTTTATTATATTTTTAAAATATAAAAACCAGTCAGCTTCCTGGACTTGGGGAAGCTAGGTGGCGCAGCAGATAGAGTACCAGCTCTGAAGTTAGGAGGACCTGATTTCAAATGCAACCTCAGACACTGTGTGACCCCTGGCAAGTCACTTAACCCCAATGCCTCAAAAACCAAAACAAACAAACAAAAACAAAGAGAGAAATACAGCAAGATTTGGCCCCTGGCCTAGAATTTGCTGATCCCTGGCCTAGAAGATCACAAATGTCCCCTCCATATCTACATCCCATCGACTTTGATATTTAGTCAAACCAAAGCTTCATTTCACAGAAGAACCTCTCCCATGAATCAGTATTCAGCTATTTAGTAGAATGAACTGCCCAACCAAACTGAAGTACAATTTCCTCTCCTCGACATCCCTCAATGATTCATGAGCTGATTATGCAGGAAGGAAGTATGATCATACTTCCTTCC